CCTTGCTCCCCCCTCTGCTGGCAAACACATCTGGAAAGAGTTTGCTTTGGAGTGACGCGGAACCCGCTGGAAATCTTGGTTCTCCTCTTACCAATGGAGTAATTGAGCAATTGAATCAACTTCTCTAAACTTTTGTTTCTTCCTGTGGAAAATGGGGGTGATGGTATCTATGGAACAGCGTTGTGAAAATAAACTGAGCTGGGGTTTTGTAAAATCCCAAGCTACCAATGATATATAGTAAATAAATAAAGCCCCTACCCCAAATCCTAAATAAATAAGTAAGAAGAAAGACTCTGCCTTCCCTAACTCCTCCCTCCTTCCCCAGCCAACAGCAGACAACTCCTTCAATTCCCCACCTAATGCTAGAAACTTCTCTGCATTCACACATGGCCTTTCCTCTTTCTCACCCTCATAATTCTGCTTTCAGACCTATTTCTTCTGCCTTCTTAGAGGCAGCATTATTTTTAAAATTAACCTTTCTTTCCTTTAACCTCAATTCATCTTGCTCAAGAAAGCCTTTTCTGATCCGATCAACCTTTAAACAGACCTAAAGCTAACTTAATAAACAAACCAATAAGCAGCACAAGTCTTTTCCTGATGGCTCCCTCTCAGCTCTGCTGGTTCATCTCTCTTCTTCCGTCTCAGCTCTTGCAAGAGACATCTGAATGGACGGTTTCCACTTCCTCCCTCTCAGTCACACTATCCTTACCACAGTATGACCAGGTCCCCGGCCCGCTGTGACTGCATGGCTCTAACAACCCTGGCTTAGCGCTCTGGGTAGCCCTAGACCCAGGAGCCACTCCTCGTCCTGGTAGTGATCTTTCCCTGGCCATCTGCAGGGCTGTGCAGGCCTCCCATCCCTCTGGCTCGTTCATGGGCCTCTTGGCAAAAGCCCATTCTAAAAATAAGCCCAATCATTTTTAGCCATTTGATTATTATCAAACACTGGTATTTCTAAACTCTAATTACTCAAATGAACTTTCCTAATGCTAGCCTTTATGCATGTGGATCCCTCTTCCTGAAATTCTCTTCTCTATCTTCCCTTCCTTCTTTCTCTTAGCTTCCTTCTTAACTTCCTGTCTGAGCCTAAAAGCTTGCTCCTTCTGTTGATCTTCCTTCCTGCTTCAGCGCTGGCCCAGGTGCCCTTCCTAGGCCCTTTCTTAGCCCTAGGTACTTTCCCTATTGTATAGCTTATCACACTTTGTCATGTTGCCCCAATTATGTTTTGTTGGCTCAAACTGCCCTTTGATGGCAAGTGTATATAGGACACCCTGCTGCTGTGTCTGCTTTTAGCACTTAGCAGAAGGCCAGTTCATCTGAGGGTGAATGAATAAATAAATCCATGAGAATGGCATCATTACTACATGGAATTGGGGTTAGTATACCTTAAGTTTTTGTTGTTGTTGTTGTTTTGTTTTGTTTTGGTACCAGAGATTGAACCCAGGGGAGCTTAACCACTAAGCCACATCCCCAGCCACTTTATTTTTTATTTTAACAGAGTCTTGCTAAGTTGCTTAGGGCCTTGAAAAGTTGCTGAGCCTGGCTTTGAACTTGGCGTCCTCCTGCCTCAGACTCCCAAGCCGCTGGGGTTACAGGCATGGTGTTTACCTTAAATTTAATGCGACATGTTATTGGTTGTGTGAAATCAGGCCAGCGGCTTCTCTCAGCATCAACTTCCTCCTCTGTAAAATGGGAAGAAGGACGGTAACTCTCTTGGGGCGGGGCACTTTGCAGGTGTTATTTCTTTTAATCCACACAAGGCCCACCAAAGCTGAGACCTAGTTTAGAAGAGAGTCTGTATGAACCTTGTCTCCCCTAGGGCCGGACAGAGCTTCCTTACAAGGATGTCCTTACCAATACCATGGAGGAAGGCAGCAAGGGAATTTCCCTTCCTTATCTTTAACTACATTCAACTTGCTCACAAACACCTGTTTTTGTTTGGTGAAAAACAAAATAAAATCCAACACAAATTCTCCCATTCAAGGAACTTTGTCACTTTGAGATTAAAAACAATAGACTCTCGTGAGTCCCTTTCCAGTTCCTCTTCTAGGTGAACACATAGGCTCAGAGGCCCTTCTGACTCCCCTTTCCTTCCTACTCTCCGACCTCATGGGAAGTGTGTAAAGACAGATACAAGGCCCACCAGCTCCCTCAGAGGTGGTTTCTGAGCAAGTTGGCCTCACAGAGTCGGGTGCTGGTAACCAGAGGTGGAGGAGGGATCAGGAAAGACTGGTCAGTGGGTACTCAGCTACAGCTGGATAGGAGCAAGAATTTCTAGGGTGTTATTGCATGCATGATAGCATGACTACACAGGAAGTAAAATACACTGTACATTTAAAAAAGTTTGAAGAAAGAATTTTGAAAGTTTTTACTGTCAAGAAATGATAAATGGGGGCTGGGGTTGTGGCTCAGTGGTAGAGTGCTCGCCTAGCATGCATGTGGCCCTGGGCTCAAACCTCAGCACCACATAAATGTAAAATAAAGATATTGTGTCCACCTAAAAAACTAAAAAATAAATATAAAAAAAAGAAATGATAAATGTTTCAGGAGTTTAACCTGATTTAAACATTACACAATCTATCCATGCATGAAACATTTCATTACCCTACTAATATGTACGATTTTTATATTTTTATGTACCAATTAAAAATAAGTTTATGGGGCTGGGGATGTGGCTCAAGTGGTATCGCACTTGCCTGGCATGCGTGCGGCCCGGGTTCAATCCTCAGCACCACATACAAACAAAGATGTTGTGTCTGCCGAAAACTAAAAAATAATATTAAAAAAAATTTCTCTCTCTCTCTCTGATTAAAAAAAATAAGTTTACTTAACAAAAAACAAGCCTGGAAAGAAAAGATGGAGGCAGGTGGACAGGGGGCCCCAGGTCTTCTCAGGTCCTCTGTGGTCACTGCTCAGAGTCTTTCCTTGCTGAACCGGAGGGCACTGGATGTCCTTGGAAGGCTGGTCCAGGCAGCGGAGACCTACTGGAAGGCATGCTTGCTCTCAGACCCAAGTTTACTCTGCCACCTCTGGAAACTTCTGAATCTCCATATGGGAAATTTGGAGAGGCCCCAGTGTGGGAGGGGTATCAAAGAAAGCATCCAAGAGAGATTTAATGGGAAGTAATTTTATGATTTGTTCTCTGATATATCCAGAGACCTTGGTCAGTACTTTTCACATTAGTCAATTCAAGTACCACTTGAATTGAGTGCATGATTCTCAGGCCATCTCTGCCTAAATGTTGCCATGTTACTGTACTGTGGTTGCTGGGATTCCCAATGTATCATGGATTCCTACTCCCTTCTAGAGTTTTGACCCCAGTGGGGGAATGGGGTGGGAGGTGCCCTGAATAGACTTCTCATTTTAGCCTAAACTATGTCCCTCTCCTGTTCCTCCCCAGGTACGGGAATGATTTTACTTCCATCCTGCTGATGGGAAGTAACCCTACACTATACCCTACTGTCCCCTCTCTCCATGGCTCAGAGTCTGGCGACCATGTGCTCTGGGTGTCATCTGTGATGGTCTTGGTTTATGCAGATTGTCCCCATGTCATTAACACGACATCCTTCACTTGCAGAGAGGTCCAGGTGTGGATGATAAATTAACCAGCCACCCTACTTTTCTAAAACACGTTAAATTCAGATCTCAAAACTCAAATCTCTTTGTGATTTAAAGCTTGGCTTTCGGGAGCCCCATGAAAGCCCTCGTCTTTCTCAAGTCCCTGGTTCTTGCGATGCAAAGTCTTGGCTTTTATGACTGTTCCAGTGTGGACGTTAGAACGTCTGTTTTGAAAGACAAAAAAAATACGATGATTTATTTTTTATTAGGAGAAATTAAAATGTATCAAAAAATCAAAAAACAAACATTTAAATATATTAACTGCCTGATGCCGACAACCTATTCAATGATCCTAGCCAACACCCTGACCTGGTACATATCCATGGACATCAGATGTCCAAGTCGTCATCATCATCATCTAGAATTAAGAATTGTGAACAGTTGGTCCTCCTAGTGAACTTCAGAAAAGAAATAAAAGTTAACACCAGAGTCACTTTTAACCACCGTGGCACTTCTTTATTTTGGGTTGTATCTGCTCCTCTTCTGAGGACAGTATATGGAAAGCTGTAGCTGTTCCTGGATTAGAGGGGAGCCTTAAGGGTTAAAATAATTCATGAAAAAAATATTTAAAATAAAAACATTTAACTGAAAGCACAGGGTGTAAATGAATGTTATTTTCCTTCTGGCCTTGATGTGGTGACCCTGATCACCTTGTGCCGATCGAAAGCTCTGCTTGGCAATGTGGATGACACTGATTAATAAGAATGAAAGGGGATGATAATTGCTAAATTATTTGGTAGGAAAATTATAATCTACCTCAATTAAAACATAATTTGATAGGCAAATCTTAAGTAAAGAATATATGGAATAAAACGTCAAAAAACAGGGCCTCAAAGGTTTTCTAAAAGAGGCTGGGAATAGGGTCCATGCAGCAGGATGGCATTACCAAATGAATTTTGGTAGGGGTTTACTCAGATATTTTTCTGGTCACTGACTGGCTCTGAGATACACATGTTCGCCTCCAGTTTGTCTTGCAGCAGCAGATCGTGTGTTTTCTCAGGGTATTGACTTGGATTAGAGTAGAGTATGGAATGCTTATATTACCTTGGCCTAATTAGCAACCAGCAGCCCCAGGGACCACCGACCCTGCATTAGGGAATGGGTCATAAACACTGAGGGCTGATTAGATGTGGCCAGGCCTCCCCATGTTTATGATTATGGCTTTTTGAACATTCCTCCCTGGTATCGCTCTGATCCTTGGACGAGAAGCACAGTTTGCTCTCAGGGTTCCTGTGTGTCTAAGAGAAAGCAGTCGTCAAGGGGGTGTGGCATCAGTGAGCTTGGACCCTTAGGGGCACATAATTATTACCTCTCTATCTTCTCTAGTTCTTGGACTTAAGTTTGTCCTATCTCTTTTCTCTCCATCTCCCTCCCTTCCTTAGATGGGGTGGCCGCCTTCCGCGCCTTCCTGAAGACTGAGTTCAGCGAGGAGAACCTGGAGTTCTGGCTGGCCTGTGAGGAGTTCAAGAAGACCAGGTCAACCGCCAAGCTGGTCTCCAAGGCCCACAGGATCTTTGAGGAGTTTGTGGATGTGCAGGCTCCACGGGAGGTGTGTTAGCCAGGGCATCCATCTTGTCAGACCTCTGTCCATGGCTCCTGGCCCACATCTCTCTCCTTGGAGAGGGTTTGATGCAGGTGTGATGAGGACTTTCTTCTACTGAACTGAGCCTCATTACTCTGGTGACTCTCAATGAAAAGGGATTATTTTTTAGGAGCAGAAGCTCTCTGTCATACATATGCTATCAGGAACTGTGTTGCTATAGGGATTTTGCAAGAGTAGATGCCACTGAGTCCATGTTTGTTTGTTATCCTACTACAAGACAGTAGAGTTTAATGGAATAAGCTCTGCTTTGGGATTTGGTTCTAATCTCAGCTCCACCACTAACTAGCTGTATGATCTTGGTCAATTTACTCAATCTCTCTGAGTCTCATTTTCCTCAGTGTAAAAGGGAATAATATCACCTGTCTTTCAAGACTACTCTGTTAGAGATAAAGCACCTATTCAATATTTGCCACTGCTCATTAATGAACATTTAGAGTTATTTATATATATTTTTTAAATATTTATTTTTTAGTTATAGCTGGACATAGAACCTTTATTTTATTCATATATTTTTAAGTGGTGCTGAGGATTGAACTTAGGGTCTCACACATGTGAGGCGATCACTCTTCTGCTGAGCCACAATCCCAGACCTTATATATTTTTTTATAATTATGTATAGTGAGGTGAATTTCTGTGAAATGCCATTCTGAGTTATCCTGCAGAATTTCACTTGGGAGAGTTTTAACTGAATAAAATACTTGTTATGAGTGCAGGAGTGCTGCATATTTGGAGCTCTTCAATTATGTATTGGCTGGGGAGTGCATGAGGTCTTCACCAGGTGAATAGGATGCTAGAGGATCCTTATAATGCTGATTGGAATAGAGCTGTACATTCTGACCAGGGTCTTTCTCTACAGAGCACTAGTTACGAAAGTACAGTGGGGAAAGCTGACTTCAGAGACCCTGCATTAACACTTGGCTTGATTCTAACCCTTTCCTGAAATCAAGATGTTTGAATTAGGAGTAAATTGATATGGGGTTTTAAAATTTGACTCTGTTCCTAACTTTTCCTTCTACTCGAGGCAAGCTTTGCAGTCTCTCTTTTCTTCAGTGTCCTTATTTACAAATTAAAACTAAGAATATCTGGTCTTCAGATGGCACAGGATTCCTGCTGTGATCCCCAGAGATGAGATCCATGATGGCAGCTTAAAAAGCCTATATCACCTTAAAGATATAAGATGCTATCATTAGTGATAATCACATAGCTTGGCCCTTGGGGGTTTGTGAACTTGCTCTCTGTTTGTGTCTCTAGGTAAACATCGACTTCCAGACCCGAGAAGCCACAAGGAAGAACATGCAAGAGCCGTCCCTGACTTGCTTTGACCAGGCCCAGGGAAAAGTACACAGCCTCATGGAGAAAGACTCTTACCCTAGGTTCCTGAGGTCCAAAATGTACTTAGATCTGCTGTCCCAAAGCCAGAGGAGGCTCAGTTAGACCTCAGATGGGGACTCTTGGAAATCACTGGCCTTCCCCTCCCCTCGATGCCAAGACCATAATCTAATGTGAATTGTCATGGATGTTCAAAGGCAGTGGCATTTGGGGTGGGAGGCTGGGGGTGACGAGGGAACGAAGGGCCATTCCAAAGTGTGACCCAGCTGCCAGAGCTTGGACTCTTCCATTTACCCACGTTTGTGTTTGGTTAGTGGTAGCACCCTGCCGCTGTCACCCTTCTCTGGGTCAGCAACTTGCCCTTTATAATGCCTTGGGTCATCTCCACTGAGAAGGCAGATCCGCTGTGCTAGGCTAATCTGTAAATAGAGCAAATGCAGTTTCCACCACCTCCACACCCTCTCCAGTTAGGATTCCTGACTCTCCACTTGTCCCGGACCCTGGGAGGAGTAGCTGGAAGATTTGGCCTCTCTCTTGTGATTTGCTGTCACAACATAGTGGCCAGCTTAGGGTGCTGGGACCTCACAGCTTAGGAGAGAAGTCTCTGCAGAATCCAGTTTTTTTTTTAGGATTGTCATATGGAGTCCCAGGTTTCTAGCACATTGACAGGTGACCTCTGGGAGAGGGTAAACTCCACGGAGTTGGCTCTTCCTTCCATTTCCATCGGACCAGTGTGAGAATCTGTGATCACTGCCCATCTTGGCCTAGGAAATTTGTAAGATTTTCTTACTCTTCCATTTCCAGAAAGGGTCTTGGGAGATTTCCTTTGGAACTTCTGAGTGAAGCTGTCATTAAGAAAGACACAGCTTGAGAATCTTCCTCAGTTCTACCAAGAACTTTTCCAGATGCAGAATGACCAGGGAATGTAGCACCAGTAGAATTTTGTGTCTGTTGCTTAATGCATTCTCTGCCCTCGCCTCCCTGTGGCATCACACATCACCGATCTTTTAGGATGACAGAGAGCTTGGCAAAAGGAGGTGAATCCCATAGCATGACAGCTCTCCCAGTGCCTAATATTTTCCCTGTTTCTCCACGTCCCCCTTCCATGGAGGCTATGTAATTATGATGGGGGAGAATGGGAAATTGGACCAGAACTCCTTGCAGCTTGCTTCCTGGGAACATGCTTTCTTAGAAAGATCCTTCTCTTGGCTACTAGGAAACAACTTTCTTCTTGGTCTCTGGTCTTTGGGATTAAACATTAAATAAGTGTGGCTAAGAAGATCACTGTGAACACCTGGCTGTGGAGACCTTCCAACAAAGCTGTCATGGTACCCTGGGGCTACTTTGGAAATGTGTCAGGAAACGCTTCCTTGGAGGATGAATGAGCAACACAGAACCTTCTCTGGCTGCCCAGGAAAAAGCTGACTTTGCTGCAAGAGCAGTGTCAAAGGAATGAATCCTCAGCAGAACGATCAGAAGGTGAAAGAAGATCCTGGAAGACGCTCGTATCCAGGGGAACTGACTTACCAAGAATGTGGTGGAGGTGCTACTGGGATAATTTATGACCAGTGGATTTGGATTCATTTCAGATCTACAAACATTTTGGGGCGGCTGACAGTGGATTTGCACATGATTACACACACACTCTGGAGTACAGGGATGGAGAACTGGTTGATGGAGCACTCTTCTTTTGTGGGGTGCTAGGTTATTTTAGATTATACTGGGGTTCCAGGGTTTGCATTCCTGCCCAGTAACTTTGAGAATCACTCCCTTCCTTAATACCAACCACAAAAGGCCAAGAAGGCCCTTGAATCCCACTAGTGATAGTGCCTGCTGCTGTGCCATGGCACCTTGTCATCTGTAAGTGGGGGTTGGCAAGTCTATGTGAACTTCAGGAGAGAGAGGACAATTGCTTCCTAGGCTTCACACTGAAGAGACCTGTGGAAGTTCATGTTCAAAAACTCAAAAGCCTCACATTGTATTCCCAAATAGATCAGATCGTATCTCCCCACCATGGTCAAAAACAATCCTTAGCTAAAGCTGCCAGAATTAACTTAATGATTAATTCTCTAACAGGGTATTTTGAACATTGTTTACATATGAAAAGTGCATCTGCTGCCAACTCTACTGTCGAAGATGAGGTGCATATAAATTGGGACTGCACAGAGATATGGAGATGTGAAATGTCCTAGGAGAGCCTTTTCACCACTTCCACCATCCCAAGGAGAAAGTTCTAAACAAGAATGTTGTGTGGCCACCTCAGCTGGGGCCTGGAGTTCTTGCCAAGTTCTGGTGGAACGAAGGCTGCAGATGGTGGTATCATGGCGCCCCGGTGACTCCCTCCCACCGTGGGAGGTGTGAAGGACCATGCTTGGGTGTCTTGAATTTTGCAGCTAGACAAGGGCACGTGGGTGTGTGTCCATGCATATAGTAACATGATAGATCTATTTATGGTTCTCCCGTGGAGCGTCTCTGTGTGCGTATGTGTGTGTAATAATGTGAACACTGGAGTAGTACATTGCAGTCATGATCTTTCTGTGAGGGTGGCTTCCCTCACACCCTGTAGCCCCTGATTCCCACAAAAGGCTCAGAGCTCTCTGCTCTGATGCCCACTTTTAGGCACTTTGGTCATGCCAACCTAGATTTTGGTCTGCGATGAAAGAGAAATGTTTACAACATCTAGAGCAATATTCAAGCATACCTCATCCCTGACCTTCCATGTCACCAGTCCTGTCCCCCTCTCCCATTTCCTCCTCCATGAGCCTCATACACCTCATAGTCCGGCATCCCAGGTGCCAGTTCCATTGAACGTCTTCCTTTGCTCCTCATGCCAGGCTTGTGTGGATGGCCATCTTTTAGACTCAAGGGTTGGTCTGGTCCTGGAACTTGTGAAGGCTCAAGGCAAGCTTGAGAAGCAGGCTGGGTAGTGCTGGGGCTTTGAGATCTGCTCTCCATCTCTGAGTGGCCTTTTGGTCCCATTGGAGTGCTAACCTGTTTTGCGGCTTGCCATGGTGGACTGAGTAGAATAGAGTCATCGACAACCATTCGCAACCCCGGGCACCACTGGGGTGAGGAGGGATCCTCTGATCAGTGCTCTTAATAAACTTGAGCATGCACAGGAATCACCTCGAAGGCCTGTTATGAATGCTAATTCCCAGGTTCCACACCTAATGGTGTTGAGCTTATAGAATGGGGAGAGTGGGGCCAGAGATCCGCACTTTTCATCAGCTCCCGTGTGTGTAGTGACCTGTGGACTCTGAATAAAGATGGTCTAGCACAGTGGCTTTCAAACTTGGTTGCTCATTAGACTTACCTGGAGAGCATTAAAAACCTGGTAGACCAGGACCCACTCCAGAAGAGCTAAATCAGAGCTCCACAGGTGGCTCAGGTGTGCAGAGGGGGTCAGGAAGCACTGGCCTGAGGAGTCAGGGGGACACAGCTGAGGGTAAAACAGCTGCCGGGCCAGAGAGGACTGGAGGCCACCCAGATGCAAAAAGCACAATGACCAGGAAACCTGGCAGCTCTGCGTGGGACTCCTGGGGTAGCTGCCTTTGCCCTCCCAGTCTGACTCACTCCTTTGAGGTCAAAGTGCTCTGGCCAAGCACACGCGTGGTTTGGCAGTCAGTGTGCCAGGCTGGGAGCTGAAGGGGACCTTGATCAAGACATGCCTCCCCACGCCTTCTGAGTCTCGTTGGCAGTGCTTCCTCCCGTCTGGCCTCCTGGGCCTTGTCCCCTGTTTGTTTTCCCATGCTCTGTGTTTCGCCGTTTCATGTCAGGCTGTGCCTCTGTCCCCGAGGCCATGCAATAGGGTAGTTGGAACTCAGGTAGCGCGTGCAGAGTGTCGTGGTAGTGACAGTAGTAGTAGTAACATAACGACTTCCAAATTTTTCAGTGGAGGGTGTCACATCCTGGGGAGTATCAAGATCTGGGAAGCTTTTCCAAGATCTCAGGGGGTTTGGTCTTTGTTCCAAGCCCTCTGCTTTCCCTCTTGGTCCCAGGTTGGATGGGCAGCTGGGAAGCTGCTAGCTAGTTGACTCTCTGGTGCTCTCTCCAGAACCTGCTGCTCCGATAAACCAAAGCTGTGAAGGCATCCTGCCCAGATTGCAGGGCCAGCCGCCGGGTGCAGGCCCTGGGCACTGATCTGCAGTGGGGCTGATGGGGCCTGTGACCCTAAGCCCAGGACAATAGAGAAACTCGGTGTGCTGTGAGGGGAAGGCATGAGCCTATTGTGTGGAGAGTTTGGGAAGGATGGGATGGGAAGACTGAAGAGGAAGGAGCAGGCAGGAGAGACAAGCTGCGGATGTGGTGTCTGCTCCTCCATGTCCCAGAGGGAAAGGTGACAAGGGGCACATTCAGAGGCAGGATGGCCTCCCACCAACAAGACTGCCCACTTCCGAGCCAGGCAGAGGAACCCTGGTTTCCCATCCTCGGCCTTGAATCTGCCAAGTGTCAGCCCTTTCAAAACCTATATCCTCTGGGTTAAAACAAGAAAGGTGGCAAAGTCACTTCTGGCACCGAGAATCTGTGCCACCATGCCACTTGGCATGAGACTGTGGAGGAAGAAGCCAAGAGCAAAGATGTCTTCCTGTCCCTGTGGCCTCTCAGGACTCCCACAATGCTCTGGGCCATGATGGGAGACTTCAGCATGGGGCCACTAGCCTTCCTGGGTTCGGGGTCTGGGTCTTTTCAAATAACTGTTCCTTTCTTGATTCTTACTCCCTTTGGACCCTTTTGCTCTCTCCCCTCTGCCAGGTGCGGAAAAGGTGGCTGGGCTCCGTGTGCACTCTAACCGCGGTAGCATTAGCTGGTCACTGGCCAGCACAACAGATTTGTAGACGCTCATCGCCATATAAACCGCTTGGCTGATGGAGTCCTCATTGAGTTGTTTCATTACCATGTAAAGTGGAATAATGTCATTCACCTTTACTATCAACAAGGCTGTGACAACATAATAAACAGAACCTGAACAAGCTGCCCGTTGCTCTCTGCCCACATTTCTGGTCGGCTGATTCTTTATGAGGAGACTCTTCACAGAACACGTGGACTCCTCAGGGGAAGCACGTGGCCTTGCTCTGCAGAGGCTGGCACGGGGCTGGCCACCAGGAAGAGCAGAGGTGTGGGTGGAAATGGGAGGCGAATGGTCTGGGATGAGTGTGGGGGTGGAGAGTAGCTTTGGGTTATAAGGGTGGCTTTGAAACTGTGAAGTGCTATACAAATGCCAGGTGTTATTTTTATTTGTACCACCTACTGTTTGGAAAGGCAGGGAGAGAAAAGGCTGGGGATGGTTTATGTATTTGTTTAGCTGGAGCAACCTGAAAATGGAGCGAGTTGGTCTATGGCTGCACC